ACATTCGTATGAATCATGGACGAAAAAGGAAATGGAGGGGAGATAAACCCAGTGGTAGACACGGGCGACCAGATAGCTTCGGGGCTGACGGAGGAGATCGTAGAAATCATGGACAAAGACAAAGTCGGAGAGAAGATAATCCCATAGGGAGACACGGGCGACCAGATAGTTTCGGGGCGGACGTAGGTGATCGTAGAAATCATGGACAAAAACAGAGTCGGAGGGTTGATAATCCCAGAGGGAGAAAGATACGGGCTCCCGATCCCGCTCAGAGCTTCAGCTCGGCCGCACCACTGCCCTCCATTGCTGCCGGCCAATCGACCTTCATCCACCCTCACCGAGCCAGGTAGGACCCTCCACGTTCAAGCGTGCTCGACTCTCTGTTTTGCCCTGTCTCGGTCAAGATGGAGCCGGATGAGTTCCTTCAATCGTTTAGTATGCATCTTTGTCGAAGGAAACAAATGTCTCCATTTTTCCTTACTGATTAGTTTCGCTTTGGAGGATTTCCGGGCATTCCCTTCCATGTTTTGGTCTGGTCACTCTCATTTTGACGCACATTCGTACGAATCATGGACGAAAATGGAAATGGATGGGAGATAAACCCAGTGGGAGACACGGGCGACCAGATACTTTCGGGGCCGACGGAGGAGATCGTAGGAATCATGGTCAAAGACAGAGTCGGAAAGGAGATAATCACAAAGGAAGACACGGGCGACCAGATAGAGGTGATCGTAGAAATCATGGACAAAGACAGAGTCGGAGGGGAGATAATTCCAAAGGGACAAAGATACGGGCTTCGCTCCCGCTCACAGCTTCAGCTCGGCCGTACCACTGCCCTCCATTGCTGCCGGCCAATCGACCTTCAGCCACCCTCACCGAGCTAGGTAGGACCCTCCACGTTCGAGCGTGATCGACTCTCTGTTTTGCCCTATCTCGGTCAAGATGGAGCCGGATGAGTTCGTTCGGTCGTTTAGTATGCATCTTTGTCTAAGGAAACAAATGTCTCCATTTTTCCTTACTGATTAGTCTCGCTTTGGAGGATTTCCTGGCATTCCCTTCCATGTTTTGTTCTGGTCACTCTCATTTTGACGCACATTCGTATGAATCATGGACGAAAAAGGAAATTGAGGGGAGATAAACCCAGTGGGAGACACGGGCGACTAGATAGTTTCGGGGCTGACAGAGGAGATCATAGGAATCACGGACAAAGACAGAGTCGGAGAGGAGATAATCTCAAAGAAAGACACGGGCGATCAAATAGAGGTGATCGTAGAAATCATGGACAAAGACAGAGTCTGAGGGGAGATAATCCCAGAGGGACAAAGATACGGGTTCCCGCTCCCGCTCACAGCTTCAGTTCGGCCGCACCACTGCCCTCCATTGCTGCCGGCCAATCGACCTTTAGCCACCCTCATCGAGCCAAGTAGGACCCTCCACGTTCGAGCGTGCTCGACCCTCTATTTTGCCCTATCTCAGTCAAGATGGAGCCAGATGAGTTCGTTCGGTCGTTTAGTATGCATCTTTGTCGAAGGAAACAAATGTCTCCATTTTTCCTTACTGATTAGTCTCGCTTTGGAGGATTTCCTGGCATTCCCTTCCATGTTTTGTTCTGGTCACTCTCATTTTGACGCACATTCGTAGGAATCATGGACGAAAATTGAAATGGAGGGGAGGTAATCCCAGTGGGAGACACGGGCGACCAGATAGTTTCAGGGTCGATGGAGGAGTGTTGACACCTAAATTTCGACGCATCATTTAGTGGTTAATTGCATAGAAAATTAGGGATTAAATTTTAACCCCTAAACAAAAATATTAAAATTGCATAGCATATAGTTTAGGTTCATATAGATTAATTGCATTCCGCATCGGATTGGCGGTGGCAAGCGAGCTTAGAATTCGTCATGTAAATTGAGCTCGGACATCGAACGAGACTCGGCTCACTCGGAAGGCAAGGGCCGAAAATTACAAGTCAGAAGGGCTTGGTTGTCTTAATTTGAGCTTAAATTAGCCCATTATGCTTAATTAAATAAAAGCCCACATTAATTCAGCCCACTTGAAATTAAATGATAATTAAAGCCTAAGCCCAAGCCTAAGCCCATTAGGTCTAGAAAGCCCGGCTAATTGACCTAGATTTACATTATAAATACATCGTTATGTGTCATAATTAAAGGGGGGGTCTCAGACTTTTCGGAGAACAGAAATTCGGAGAAGTTGGAGCTACGTAATTGAAACACAAAGCCACGAGAGAGAAGGAGAGAGGAGCTGCACCTCCCCTTGGCAGCCACGATCGAAGGAAGAAAAGACAAAAGAGAGGGGGGCTCTCTTTTTCTTGGTCTGGAGATACAACAAAGTTTTTTTTCGGTTGTCCACAGAAGTTCCAATCACTTTGGCGTGCTGTGGCTCTTCATCAATGGCGATGCGGCATTCGTGAAAGAGCCTCGACACCCGATAGCCTGCTGTTTTCGGTGTTAGCTAGCCCACGCGATCAGCACCAGCGAACCTTTGTTGCCGAACCTGCAAAGCCGACGATCAAACGAGCTAGTCCCTGCACTACGATATCTCTAGTGTTCCTCGGAGATCACTTATTACTCTACGATTGGTTTCTTTGATACTTGCTGGTCTTCTGGTCGTTGTTGCTTATTCCCTAAGCATTATTTTCTCTGGAAGTTTTGTTGAAGTTGCGGCCAATTAGTCAGTCTATCATTGACGATTCCCCTCACCAACGTAGGTCGATATCTCTTTGCTGTTGTCGGTCCCTAGGTGTCGATCATTACCGCGGCTGACCATACCGCGAATCCACCGCTGGCCGCCGTTCGAGTTTGTCCATCACCAGTTCAAATTTGGAAACAAATCTGCAAATAAGGTAATTATCTTATCCCGATTTAATTTGAATATTTTGTTGCCTAATTTGTGCTGATTGATATCCAATTTTGCATATTTGAATAATACGCATATTTCAATTAGGATTTATTTCCTCTTTTTTTTGAAATCTTGGATATCTGATCTTATCAAATTTGGATAGAATTTAGAATTTTCAAAATCCTTTGAATATATCCAAGATATTTGAGATATTTAAATTTTTTCAAGATGTGATCGATTAGGAAAATTTCCTAATCCGCAACCGCACACGTGGAAATAAATCTATCTATCAGGCTTTAGATAGAGTTATTTCCATAGCGGGTATTTCGAATTTTAGGATCAATCTGTCAGGCTTCAGATCGAAACTTAATTCGAAAGATTTAGCGGTTATATTTTTACTGGATTTTAATTTCGAATTTTGGTAAAAAAAATGCCAAAAAGATTACTCTAGAATAGGTTAATTTCTTTAGTTTAAAATTGCATGTTTAGATAATTGGTATTTTTAATTCCGAATTTCATTAAAGAAAAAAAATACAAAAAAATAATGTGCCCGTCATTAGAAACAGGTCACGTCGTCGCATGACATATAGTTTGCATGTTAGGTTGCATTAATCGCATGTCAATTTTTTGCACGTCATTACATATAGGTTAGCTTTCATTTAAATAAGTAAAAAATCAAAAAAAGAAAATTTCTGCGCCTTTGAACTCTAAGTCAGGATTTATCAAAATTGTCAAATTGAGTATTTTTCTTGAAACTGGTACCGAAAGGGCGTTAGGGAATCTAGCGTAACCAAGTCCCCGAATCTATAATTTCTGGTTCGCAGAAATAAAATAGTACTCCCGCTATTTTATTTAGGTTTCTAATCAACCTAACTTAAATGATTAGTGGCGACTCCCGTTGAAAATATTTACATGCTCACAATTGGATCTAAGTTACGATTTGGTAGAGTTTGGGAGAACTCGAGCTAGGTTAGTTAATTTAATTGATCTAGTAATCCATTAGCCTAAGATCGAAAAGTCGATTTTTTTTAGGTCGCGACATCCTGCAGCTAAGGTCGCCTGACCTAGGCTAGATTTGTCCCTCGTCAGAGTTGAGCAACCCCGGAAATGGAGAGCAAGAGCTCGGCAGCTCTCGTCGGCATTGCCTCCACCCGCATTCCACATCTTCTCTCTTAGGTGTTTTTTTTTTCCTTAAATTCCAATATTTTATCTTGTCGACACCTGAAAATTACATGTAAGTACCAATTTAACGGTCAGCATTGACATGGTCGCTTAGGAGCCTGTCAACGTCGGCATTTCTGATTTTATTTTAACGGAAGAACTAATTTTAAGACTTAATTGCACAATAATAATAGTTCAAGGACCTCATTGAAAATTTCGAAAGGTTAAGGGACTTGCGGCTTTTTATCCCTGTCTTATTAATACCGAAAAACATGGAGAAAGTTAGAACGAGCACAGCTCCTACACCCGCTGCCGACGTCGAGCTTGCTCCTCTCCGCCGCCGCGCACCTCCGCCGCAGCCCAACCCCCTGACGGTGGTCAGCCCTGTCGGTGGTCTCGCCTCCACCGCCAACTTCGACGAGAACTCCACGAAGGCAAGCTTCCGGGTTATGCTGTTTTGGTTCAGGCTTTCTTGTCGAGACGCGACGTTCTTTTGCCAACTGTAGCATTTGAGCGAGGTCAAATGGCCACTATTTTGGTCGTTCTGCATTGGTAGCGACGGTTCAGTAATGGTGATTACCGCACTGACACTGATCAGAGCGTTGCGCTCAACGAACATCCCTTGCCCACCATGTGTTTGATGGGAGTTTCGGGGCAAATGGCCTTGAGATATCAAATGTAATCCGACCCAACTACCCAGAGAATCAGCTCGTTGATGCACTTCTTCGAGTGTTCTTATGAGAAATAACTGCGAAATCGAACCGTTATAAAAAATCTTGCCAAGCTTTCTCTGGGTTTGATTTTATTACTAGATTAGATTGTTTTAGGGCCATATAATGATGCCTCGAAGATGCACATAACTTTGGAGTTGTGATTGCTTCGTCTTCTAGCTTTTTTTTTTTTCCCTGAAAGAGACATTTGTTGTTTTCTCTTGTCTGCATGATTTTTCTTCTTTAATTGACTGTAAAGTCTTGGTAAGTTATAGGTGTGACAGCTAAAATACTTTATTTGATTCAGATTTTCCATGTTCGTGGTGACCGACACGGTTATTGGATGATCGTTACCTGGCTTATTCTGCTGACTGCCCAATGTGGATCATCTTTTTGCGGGCGGAGGTCAGCGCATTTTTAATTTTGCCTGAGCTCTGATTGGACTAAAAAGTTTGCTGCGATGGCCAGTAGATCAGTGATCAAATGGTCTAATAAAATTACAACGTCCCAAGTCGAGCAGCTTATTAGGGCTGAAACGGATGTACAGAGGGCAATGCTCATCTTTGATTCGGCAACAGCAGAGTATAGTGATGGTTTTCGCCACGATGAGAAAACCTTTACTCTTATCATATCGAAATTGGTCTCTGCAAATCAGCTCTGGACAGCGGAAGACCTTCTCCAGAGAATGAAAGAAGAGCAGTGCAATCTTACAGAAGACATATTTCTCTCCATCTGCAGAGGTTATGGGCGGGTTCACAGGCCGCTAGATTCGTTAAGGGTTTTCCAGAGGATGCAGCGTTTCCAATGCAAACCTTCACCCAAATCATACGTCACTATTTTGGATATACTTGTTGAGGAAAACCAGTTGAAACTAGCTCTTAGATTTTATAAACACATGAGGGCAATCGGTGTATCACCTACTGTTGCTTCCCTCAATGTTTTGATCAAAGCTTTGTGCAAGAATAGTGGAACGATGGATTCTGCCCTCAAGATATTTTATGAGATGCCAAATCGTGGATATGTTCCGGATTCATATACATATGGTACTTTGATAAATGGATTGTGTAAATGGGGAAAAATTAGTGATGCCAGGAAACTATTTGAAGAGATGGAGATAAATGGTTGTTCACCTAGTGTAATCACCTACACTTCCATGATTCACGGTCTCTGTCAATCTGAGAATTTAGATGAAGCTTTTGGATTGTTTGAACAGATGGTGGGCAAAGGTATTGAGCCTAATGTGTTTACTTTCAGTTCATTAATGAATGGATTTTGCAAGAGTGGGTGTTCTTCTCAAGCAATGGAGCTTTTGGAAATGATGGTTCGGAAACGGCTGATGCCCAACATGATAACTTACAGCACTCTAATCAATGGGCTCTGTAAAGAAGGGAAAGTTTATGAAGCTTTGGAGACTCTTGACAGGATGAAGCTTCAGGGTTTGAAACCAGATGTGGGATTGTATGGCAAGATCATTGCTGGCTTTTGTGACAAGTGCAAATTTCCGGAGGCTGCCAACTCCCTTGATGAGATGATACTAGAAGGAATCTCTCCCAATCGTTTAACTTGGTCTATTCATGTCAGAATCCACCATGCGGTTGTTCAAGGCCTTGCTGTTCATGGTGAAATAAATCGTGCTTATCAACTTTACCTAAGCATGCAGGCCAGGGGAATTTCTGTTGACGCTTCGACTTTCAGTGCTCTCGTTGGATATTTCTTGAGGAAAGGAGATATAGATAAAGCTGCTCGGGTATTTGAGGAAATGGTGCATGATGGATGTGCTCTGGACGAGGAAACATGGAAGGCAGTTGTTGAAGGATTTGTGCATTGGGAGAAAGGGATAGAAGCTGCTAACTTATTGCCTGAATTGATTAGAGAACAATGAAAGAAGCAGACAAGACTATAAGGATATAATCATTAGGTAAGAGTTAATGCTGCTTGTTACTGTTTCTACCGACACAGTAGATGCTCATTATTTTCTTTGTGATACAAATGTGACGATTTCTTGATGGTCATCGACTACTTGTCATGCTTATTTCATATGCATGACAACAGTTCCAGAGCCAGATAGAAGCAACATGAAGGCCTGACATCTCCATTCAACAGGGGCCATCTTTTTTCTCTCGAGCCCAGGCAAGTACAGAGAAAGCATGGGGCGTTTCTGACGATCCAGAAATCACCTGATTTTGGTGATGGTCGTTTCAAGATTCCTCGTTTATTAAAAGGGTCTTTGTTATTTCGAATTCCTTGAGAGAGAGTTTTTGGAGATGTACATGAGCTTGATGAGGAAGTCGTTCAAGGACTCTTTGAAGGTGCTTGAGGCAGACATTCAGCATGCGAATACCCTGTAAGTTCTTGCTAAAAATTCTCTTGTATTTCTAATGAATTTGAAATTTCTGCAGTTTTTATTCCGAAATATCTTTTCTGTGTCGTTGTGTTTGATGGTCAGTGCAGCATCTTTTGGGATTACCTCGTTTTTTTATAGGAAATTAATCTCAGATGGTTGAATTTGCTTGATCGACTTCAGATGTTACCTCACCTTTTCTGGGTTATTCGTGTCAGCTTCTAATTACTTGTCAAATTAAGCTCTAGCTCTGAATTCCCTTCTGATTCTTCAGTGTCTTTATTTCTCTTGTCTAGTTGAGTGAACTGTCTTTGCTGTTGTGTTTTGTTTTTCTCAAATCGCATTTGTTGAAAAACAGTTCTGTTCTCTGAGATTCCTGCATTTAGTTTATAGTTCATCTGCATAGGCGGCCACGCGAATGCTCGGTTTGTATATTTGATAACATGGCCAAAGATGATTTTTTTCCTACCCTTTATGTCTTGCATTTGCATGGTTCCTTGATTTGAGCTATTATATGATTTGAGCAGAATGAAGATTTGCTTTGTGTTGAATAGTTCAGAGAGGGTACGAATTTTACTTACTGTTGCTAATTAGTATTATTCTCAGTAATTTGGATTATGCGGTCTCAGATGGATCAATGCTTGGTAAGTGCCTTGGGCAGCATGTGAAATTCAGGGGCTTAAGGTTTTTGAAAGTTTTCGATTTCAGATTTCATGTCAATGTTCTCCATTTCTTTAACTAGAGTTGCATCAATGCAAGGGTAAGGGTGCATTGACAATGGAGAGGGGAGCCTTGTTCCATCTTGGTGCCCTTCAAGAACTCGCAAAAGTAGTTTGCGAGTATGTAATGAGTTCTTTTGTATGTTTTGCTTTTCGTTTCTTTCTCAATTAAGGCGAATTGATAAACAGAAGGCACATAAGTCAATACTTGCACGAGTTTCTTTGTACTCCAGTTTCTTCTGTAGAGTTTTTCATTTTTTGTACGTAGTCAAGAAGTTTCCTTGGTTCTTAGTGTTAGATTAGTTTTCTATGCATTTGGTTGAATGTTTGTATCGCATGTGGTACAGAGCATCTGATTTTCCAAGGGATTATGACGGCACTCTTCAGATGAGATTGTCGTACAGTCCAGCTGCACATTTCTTTCTTTTTCTAGTGTAGTGGGCAGATTGTCACTTAGCTGGTGCCCTTGGGTTGCTAAGAATTCTGATTCACATGGTAAAAATGGGAAGGAAAGTTCTCAGTTCTACTGTGATTTAGCTTTATCAAGTCATATTTGTGATAGGAGAATTGCTGAAAACTGGAAGTCCTCTTGTTCTCTAGGTCTATGATGATGGCACGACGACCATGTCAACCCATGAAAGAAGAGCTAGCATCAGAGAGTTCTATGGTAATCAAATTCTGATTCCCTACATTCAAAGTCTAGTCGACGATCCATTTGGATTAGTTATTTTGACAATACTCTTGTTCCTGCTGTTGTCACCGGTAACTTATCCAACATTACTGCAACTTCAAAAGGTGTGACCGATACTGAAGATAGAAGGCAGAAGACTGTCTGCGTGGAGAGGTACAGAAGGAGAGAAGAGGAGGAACATAGGCAGTATGCAGATATAGAATTTGAAAAGGAAGATGAATGTGGAGTATGCACGGAAATGAATAGTAAGATTGTGCTGCCCAACTGCAGTCATGCCATGTGCCTCAAATGTTATCGGGAGTGGTACTCTCTCTCTCTCTCTCTCTCTCACATGTGTATTGATGCACATGGGCCTGCCTGCATGGGGTCTTGGGAGTGTGTGCCCCTGCTGGTGTATGTATGTGTCGCTTGTGTGCTTGCGAGGCTGAGAAAAAATGTTCAAGCCATTGAACTCAAATCTGAAGTTATCAGTTTGGTTCAATTCGAGAAGGCATTTTGCAAGTCTGGTCCGGTTGCAGACCCATGTTTGATTCTGTCTGGTTTGCAATTTCCCAAATCAAATCATGCTCAGCGCTACATGTCTCTGTAGAAAATTACTCTCGCATGGTTCATCTGCTTTGCATATTCTTGACAGTCGGTAATTGGTATGCCAAAGCCTAGAATAAGTCAACCGTTCGAGGATTGTGACTGCACATCGGAGGAAGTAGTACCTGAGTAGAGATATTAGAACTTTCCAGCGAAAGACCAGTTGATTGCTGGTGTATATGGTCAGACTAAATAAATTATAAATTGTTATAAACAGTGTTTTCGGGTACTAAATCTCTTCCGTGTCCAATTGTAAGACATTCTACATATGTCTTGTGTCCATTTCAGTGCATATGTGTGATTAGAAATTTTAGAAGTTTGATGTATGTCCACTAGGAATTGGAGCTTTGCATTGTAGGAAACGTGGGAAAGCTAGTTGAGGAAGTGGATGGGTTGCTTTAGAGAATTGGTAATCTGGTGACTTTCTTTATTCAGAGAGCAGTTGCTTTTAAAGATCAATAGTAGTTCGAAAATGGCAGGTTGTTTTAGAGTGGGACATCGTTAGCCTTCTTTAGATAGTAATTATTAAGCTTCCCAGAAACTTTGCAGGTATTGAGGGCTTCGTGGGGGAACCCTTCAACTATTTCTTGTCTGTCCAACTTAGTTACAGATCCTGTGAGGTGAGAACAAGTCAGATTCTTTCATATACCATGAACAGAGACTTTAGGGAGTTGTTATTTGTGTGCACTCATGGATACGTACTAGCATGGATAAATAAATTGTAGAAATTTAGGAGAAACTGTTCTAAGTTTTATTCTCCAAAAAGGGCTACGAAATTACATGAGGCCTCCGGCCTTTTATAGCTGCTCGTCCAGCTAATTATTTTGTGCTAACTACCGAAGCAAAAAGCCAGATATACTAGCCATAAATCTGGTTAGTATCTGCTGGTTTAAAAAAAATTATCAGCACCCTAAAACTTAGGAAACAAATTCCTAAAAGCTAACAAACAAAATCCTGAAAATCTGGAAACAAAATAATCGAACTTCTACTGCTAACTAAAATATCCGGATCTGGTTTTCAACACTCCCCCTCAAGCTGGGTTATGAATGTCTATCATACCCAGCTTGCACCTTAGAGTCTCGAAACTATTTCTGGATAAAACCTTGGTCAGTATATCCGCTGTTTGATGATTGGTTGGAACATACAAGAGCTTCAATATTCCTTCATCAAGTTTTTCTTTGATGAAATGCCGATCGATCTCCACATGTTTTGTTCTATCATGATGAACCGGGTTCTTGGCAATCTCAATAGCAGCTTTGTTGTCACATAATAATAACATAGGATTGGTATTAGTGAATCCTAGTTCATTTAAGACTCTTCTCAGCCACATGCCTTCACATATTCCTTGACACATTGCTCTAAACTCCGCTTCAGCGCTGCTCCTAGCAACAACGGGTTGCTTCTTGCTTCTCCAAGTAACCATGTTGCCCCATACGAAGGTACAATACCCTGTTGTTGACCTTCGGTCCGTGAGAGATCCAGCCCAATCTGCATCCGTGAAAATCTCCACGTTTCTCTCCTCTGTTTTCTTAAAGTAAAGCCCTCTTCCAGGACTTCTTCTTGAATCTTGTAAGATTCGAAAAACCGCACTGCAGTGCTTCTCTGTTGGTTGGTTCATGTATCTACTAACCATACTTACTGCGAAACCAATGTCTGGCCGAGTATGTGAGAGATAGATTAGTTTGCCAACTAATCTTTGATATCTCCCTTTGTCCGTTAATGGTCCTTCTTCTTCCATCTCGGTTTTATAGGTAGAATCCATGGGGTTGTCAGCTGGTTTACACCCAAGCATACCGGTTTCCTTCAAGAGATCAAGAGTATACTTACGTTGGGAAATTGCAATCCCTTTCCGTGACCGAGCTACCTCCATACCTAGGAAGTACTTGAGTTGACCTAGGTCTTTAACTTCGAATTCTTGTGCCAAGATATTCTTCGTTTTCCAATCTCCTCCCAGTTGTCACCAGTTAGGATTATATCATCGACGTATACGATCATTATTGCTCTTCTACCTTCATCGACTTCTTGACAAACATTGTATGATCCGTTTGACATTGAGTGAAGTTCAGCTTCTCAACGACCCTTGTTAACCTCTCGAACCAAGCACGAGGTGATTGCTTTAGGCCGTATAGGGATTTCTTGAGTTTGCACACCTTGTTGAAGCTCTCTTTAGTGTCAATTCCAGGTGGGACCTCCATAAAGACTTCTTCCTCCAATTCCCCATTTAAGAAGGCATTCTTTATGTCTAATTCTTTGTAGGGCCAGTCCAAGTTAGCCGCAAAAGAGAGCAACACTCGGATGGAGTTTAGTTTGGCCACCGGAGCGAAGGTTTCTTCGTAGTCTATTCCATATGATTGTGTGAATCCCTTAGCGACCAGCCTTGCCTTGAAACGATCAACACTACCATCGGCGTTGTGCTTAAGCGTAAAGACCCACTTACATCCCACCAATTTCTTCCCGGTGGCAATTCAGTATATTCCCAAGTCTTATTCTTCTCAAGTGCATGAATTTCCTCAAGAACCGCTCTTTTCCACTCCATTGAGCAAGTGCCTCATGGATATTCTTGGGAATTTGAATGTCGCTCAACGTTGAAACAAATGCCTTGTATTTCGGAGACAACTTTTCGTAAGACACAAAGTTGTTAATGGGATGTTGAGTGCACTGTCTCTTCCCCTTCCTAAGAGCAATAGGCTGATTAAGATCATCAAGTATAGCAGAATTTTCTGAGTTTGCAGAAGCATTACCTTCATCGACAGTGGGTCTTGAACTCGGATCTGTCTCTTGAGCCGGCCTTGATGTAGTACGGTCCTCCAACTCCTTTTGAGTCTTGCGCCTAGAGTAGACAATTACCTCTTTAT